CTGTACATAAATACAAACGCGACATGCTGCTAGGCTTTCAGAGCGACTTGGCACAACAGATACAAAAGTAAAGACGGGGCGCGTTGCATATATATAAAGACATATGTATGTATATGTATTTATATTGATTTGAGATTGAGTTGTAATATACATGCGCATTGTGGCTCTGAAAGCTCCGGCAAACCGTTTGAAAGAGGGACAGTTCCAATCAATTGCGCACAGCATGTTGAGTTTTCGATGTCTTGACCGATATGGTAAGTGTGGAAAGGTTGTGCACGAAGCATTAACAATTAAATTGTCTATCGCACTCAACCAGGAGCTTCATGGCGGAGCTGTCCATATTTGTGCCGGCCCTGAAACGCAAGGTGACCGCACGTGAGACCGGCTCCAACAAGAAATCGGCCAGCAAGTCGTGCGCCCTGTCGCTGGTGCGTCAGCTATTCCATCTAAAGGTAATCGAAGCCTTTAGTGGCACACTCAAAAAGAAGAAGGACGAGCAACTGAAGCCGTATCCGGTTAAGCTAGATCCACAGCTCATTGATAGCGTGGACGAGGTAATCAAGGAGCTGGAGTTGCCCGTGGTTAATCCGCGCAACATCAAAGTGGAGCCCGATGCCGCGCCCATGTCGCTGATTGTAAGTGCTGCCGGCATTATTCACGCAGCTCTAATAATCTTTCTTATTGTAGGTTGCTACGAATCGCTTGGACACCAGCCAGGAGATCGAGACGCGCACACGCCAGGAGAATATTGCCGTGATACCCTGGACACCGCCGCAACCCAACTGGAATGCCTGGCATGCTTGCAACATCGATGAGGGCGAACTGGCCACCGCCGCAGTGGATGATCTGTCCATTGAATATGAGCGTCAGTTGTGTGAGCGTCGCCAGAATAATCCCGAGTACCGTCAGTTTCTGGAGTTTCGCGATAAGTTGCCCATTGCAGCCATGCGCTCGGAAATCATGACCGCCATCAACGAGAATCCGGTAGTCATTATACGCGGCAACACCGGCTGCGGCAAGACCACACAGATCGCCCAGTATATACTCGATGATTATATTACCTCGGGCCAGGGCGGCTATGCCAATATTTATGTGACCCAACCGCGTCGCATATCGGCCATTTCTGTCGCTGAGCGTGTCGCACGCGAACGTTGCGAGCAACTGGGCGATACTGTTGGCTATTCGGTGCGCTTTGAATCCGTCTTTCCACGTCCATATGGCGCCATACTCTTCTGCACGGTCGGCGTCTTGTTGCGAAAACTGGAGGCGGGTTTACGCGGCATATCGCACATTATTGTCGACGAGATACACGAGCGCGATGTGAACAGTGACTTTTTGTTGGTCATTCTACGCGACATGGTCGCCACCTATCCGGACTTGCACAGTATGCTAAAGATGGATTTCTTGTTCTTAATCCTTGTGCTCATTTTATATCGCAATTTTTTTCTAGTTATTTTGATGTCCGCTACGATTGATACAACTCTCTTTTCAAAATACTTTGGGGACTGTCCCGTGCTGGAGGTGCCTGGACGCGCCTTCCCGGTGCAGCAATTCTTTTTGGAGGACATCATACAAATGACTGGCTTTGTGCCCTCGGCGGAGTCGCGTCGCAAGCGCAAAGAGGCCGATGATGAGGAGCAACTGTTGCTCAGCGACAATCTGGAGGAGGGCGAGCAGAATCTAAATAAAGTGTGCGAGGATAAGTACTCGCTGCAGACACGCAATGCGATGGCCATGCTGTCCGAATCGGATGTCAGCTTTGAGCTGCTTGAATCGCTATTGCTGCATATCAAATCGAAAAACATTCCCGGCGCCATTCTGGTTTTTCTGCCCGGCTGGAATCTGATCTTTGCTTTGATGAAGTTCCTGCAAAGCTCAAACAATTTTGGTGACCCACAACAATATCGCATCTTACCTTGCCACTCGCAGATACCCCGCGATGATCAACGCAGGGTCTTCGAGCCGGTGCCGGATGGCATCACCAAGATCATATTGTCCACAAACATTGCCGAGACTTCGATAACTATTGATGATATTGTCTTTGTTGTGGACATATGCAAGGCGCGTATGAAACTCTTCACGTCCCACAACAATTTGACCAGCTATGCGACTGTCTGGGCCAGCAAAACCAATTTGGAGCAGCGCAAGGGTCGAGCCGGCCGTGTACGTCCCGGTTTTTGCTTTACGCTCTGCTCCCGCGCACGTTTCGCCCAGCTGGAGGAGAACTTGACGCCGGAAATGTTCCGCACACCGTTGCATGAGATTGCGCTAACCGTGAAGCTATTGCGCCTCGGCGCCATACATCATTTTCTGTCCAAGGCATTGGAGCCGCCGCCAGTGGATGCTGTCATCGAGGCGGAGGTGCTGTTGCGCGATATGCGCTGCCTGGATGCCAATGATGAGTTGACGCCATTGGGCCGCCTGCTGGCACGTTTGCCCGTCGAGCCGCGTCTGGGCAAGATGTTGGTGCTGGGCGCGGTGTTTGGTTGCGCTGATCTGGTGGCCAGCATGGCCTCCTATTCAAGCACCTTCTCGGAGGTGTTCGCCTTGGACATTGGACAGCGCCGTTTGGCCAATCATCAGAAGGCTCTGAGCGGTCGCAAATGCTCCGATCATGTGGCCATGATTGTCGCCTCACAGATGTGGCAGAGTGCCAAGAAGCGCGGCGAGCACGAGGAGGCACGTGTCTGCGACTGGAAGGGTCTGCAGATGTCCACAATGAATGTAATGTTTGATGCCAAGCTCCAGCTGCTCGATCTGCTGCAGCAGGCCGGCTTTCCGGAGGAGTGCATGTTGCCACACCACGTGAATGCCAATGCGGATGATCCCGAGCTGGATATATCCCTCGCTCTGCTCTGTTTGGGTCTCTATCCCAACATTTGCGTGCACAAGGAGAAGCGCAAGGTCCTGACTACCGAATCGAAGGCTGCCCTGCTGCACAAGACCTCGGTAAACTGCAGCAATCTGGCCGTGACCTTCCCCTATCCGTTCTTTGTCTTTGGCGAGAAGATACGCACACGCGCCGTCTCCTGCAAGCAATTGTCCATGGTGGCGCCGCTGCAGGTGATGATCTTTGGTTCGCGCAAAATCGATCTGGCGGCCAATGGCCTGGTGCGCGTGGATAACTGGCTCAACTTCGAAATGGATCCGGAGCATGCGGCCAAAATTGGTGCACTTAAACCGGCCCTGGAGGATCTGATTACCATTGCCTGTGACAATCCCAGCAATGTACTCCAGCTAGATGAACCCTACGCCAGGCTGGTGCGTGTGATCAGGGAACTTTGCGTCCAGAATGCCGGCGACTATGAGCTTCAGCGTGAATGCGGCGTGTTGCCCCACATGTCGCGCAACGTTGCCAGCGGCAGCAGCACCGGCGGCGGACCAGCTAAGCGTGGGCGCTACGACAGTGGTCCTGGTTACGGTGGCAGAAGCGGAGGCTATGGCGGTGGCGGTGGTGGTCGCCGTTATGGTGGCGGCGGAGGCTATGGCAACCGTGGAGGAGGCTTCAATAATGGTGGCGAAGGCGGTTTTAATAGTGGAGGAGGCGGCGTCGGTGGCTTTAATGATGGAAACGGTGGTGGCTTCAATAGAGGAGGAGGCGGCGGCGGCGGCGATGGCTACAATAATGGAGGAGGTGACGGCGGCTACAATGAAGGAGGCGATGGCTACACTAATGGAGGAGGCTTCGGCGGCTTTAACAATGGAGGCGGCGGCTTTAACAATGGAGGCGGCGGCTTTAACTCTGGAGGCGGCGGCTATAACTCTGGAGGCGGCGGCTATAACTCTGGAGGCGGCGGCTATAACTCTGGAGGCGGCGGCTTTAACTCTGGAGGCGGCGGCTTTAACTCTGGAGGAGCAGGCTTTGGCGGCGGCAACAACTTTCAAAGTGAGGGCGCCAACTGGGGCGCCTTTTCCAATCGTCGCTTTTAAATATTTTAATATTAAACCTAACCTATGCTATGCATTATATTTATGTCTGATTACAATTAAAATATAAATATCTACGATCCATAATCGTATTCGAATACAACGCACAGAGTTTGCTGTGATTAATATGATTGTTATAACACAATTATGTAGATTATAAATAATTTATAAAGTACTTTAACAATTAATTTTATATAAATTATGTATTATAGTACTCCAGCTGGCACTCGATGCTGCAGAAGTACTTGGCCAACGGTTGCTCCTCGCTGATGTGCGCCGCATTGAGGCATGTGTGGCACCAGCGTTTGCGCTTGATGCTGGCCAACAGCTCGTCCGGCGTTAGTGCATATTCATCCTTGGGGCTGTGGGTCTGGCCTTGCGCTTGGTGGACGCTCAGCTCCCAGTCCCAACGCTTGTCTAGCTTCCAAATGCGAGTTAGTTCGTCCAGAATCTGGGGACCATGTAGTTTTGCCGGTTGTTCGTGGAGTAATTTGCGCAGCTTCTTCGTTGCGCATTTAAAGCGTTCGTAGTTTTTGGTATATTTCTGTTCCATATCAATTAAATGTTTGACATGAAAGGTTTGTGTGGATTTTGTTGCTGTTTTTATGGCAGTGTTCTCGTTTTTTATTGTAGTTTTGTTTTTCAGGCGCTCCGCTGGAAAGTCGAAGGGTATAGTTTCATCAGAGTCTTCGTCTGAGCTAATATATACAATGCTGGACATTGCTAAAGATTTATAATAAATCACGAATTTGCCGTTATGTTTGAACAAGGGCTGCCCAATATATGACCAGGGCTGCAGCTAAATGCTTAGTCCAGGCGCATGAATCCTTTTCTATTTTTTTCCTTAAACTAATTCTTAATCGTTCATTTATTTATTGTTAACATTTTCAATTTGTTTTACTTATTTTGATTATCAGCTATTTTGAATTTTAAAATCCTTTAAATTTTGAAACCCAACAGCCAATTTAACAGCTTAGCAACTCTGTCGGGTTGAATAACTGTTGCAGCGTACCATGCTTATTATTTTGAACTAATTCTATCGATATGTTTTCGATTATTTGCGCCGCCATTCAATTAAAATAAGCGTCGTTTGCTTTTTTTGTGCGCGCGGTTTTCTGTTGCATTTTGGTTGTACTATCTGAATTGTTTTACATTGTCTACTGTATATTCTAGTTAAGTATTGTCGAAAAACGATGGATTTCGATAATGCTAAGGAGAACATACAGCCCCTGGCAAGTGGGCGCAATGTCAGCCTGCTGCAGGCATCGCTTTGCCAGGACGCCTCCCAGGAGCTGAACGCGCAGCGCAAGCAGCTGGAGCTGGACATCAAGAACTACACTGGCGACGATCCGCTGGAGCCATGGTATGCCTATATATGCTGGATTGAGCAAAGCTATCCGGCGGGCGGAAGCAATTCCGGCCTGCAAAAGGTCATGCACAAATGTCTGACCCGCTTCGAGCAGGACGAGCGCTACAAACAAGATCCACGCCTGATCAAGTTGTTTATCAAATTTGTAAGTCTGAGACTTGGGTTATTGATAAAATCTTATAGATTCTCTGTCTGACAGATGGGCAGCCAGGGCGATCAGATTGAGTGTTATCAGCAGATGTACAACAGCGGCATTGGCACCATGCTGGCTGATTTCTATATAGCCTGGGCCTACAGCTACGACCTGAGCGGCAATATGCGCAAAGCCAACGAGATCTTTCGCCTGGGCGTTGATTGTCGCGCCGAGCCGCTGGAGGAGCTCAAGGAGGCGCAACAGCATTTTGGCTACACGGTCGCTCAGCGCATGCTCTACAGCGAGGGCGAGGAGACAACTGCTGTCACACAGGAGCTCAATGATCGCCGCTTGGCGTTGCGTTCGCTACACGGCCAGAAACGTAAGAATACGCTCACCGTCGGCAGCGTGCGCACGGGCGCGGCTATCCGGAGTAACATGCCCGGCGTGGTACACGTGAGTTTCAGAAGAAAAACAAAAATAAAAAACAAACTAAACTCCTTTTCATTCCAGAACGTTGGAGCCAGCACCAGTCGGGCGGGTCGCAATGCCAACCGTCAGCTAGAGGTGTTCAACGATGAGAACGCGGATCTCAATGTGCCGCCACCGCCGCCGATCGCTGAGCCAGAGACGCCGGCAGACGCTAAATCCAGTCTGCGTTCCATAATCGATGCAGCACGCCAGCAGGAGAATCTCAAAGAACCCATAGCCTGGAGCAAGCCTCACAAGCATGGCAAAATCTTTGCCTCGACGGCCGCACATGATCCGGCCTTTCCCATACACGTGGACGAGAAGGCGCTGCCGCCGATTGTTGATCCCGATGGCAATATGCTAAAGCCCTTCAAATATCCACCCAACTTTAAGCCGAAAAATACATCACAGGAGCCTTGGGTAACTCCGGTAACCATTGAGGATGAGCCGGACACCAATACGCTGCCCTGCTACAACAAATGCATGCTCTATCCACGTCCCAATATGGAGTTCTCGCCCGAGGAGTATCGTGCTTATTGCTGGTTCAGGCGTCGCAACGAACAGCATCCGTATGTGCTGCGCAACGAGGCCTGGTGGGGTAATGGTGCTGCTTTTGGCGTGCGTCGTTATCCAAACTTTGCCAGCATATCGAAGCCGCAGGCACGGGACGAGCTGGATGCATATTACAAGCCGCCGGCGGTGCCGTCTCTAGCTACATTGCTGGACAAGGTCTACAATGATGAGGAGCAGCAGGAGTATCAGCTGGAGGAGCTGCTTGTAGCTAAATGGCGCCAGAAACTTATTACACAGCGCGGCGTCATGGACATGGAGGAGACGGTCTGCCTGCCGGGCGAGCAAATGCCGCGACGCAAGAGTTTCTTTCCCAATCTTCAGCCGGGCTCGAGCAGGAAGTCGATTATGCCGCGCATATCCTGTGTCATGGAGGAAGACGAGGATAGGGAGTCAGAGGAAGAGCAGTTGAAGCAGCAGCAGCAGGTTGAGAAGCCAAAGACACCTGAGCCTCTTGTCATGAAAATATGGGAAGATCCAGCCGCAGAAGTCTTGCCCCCAATTCCAACTGAAAGTGTGGTTCCAACTCCGATTCCCACCCCAATCCCAGCTATAGCTGTAACATCTCCCCCCGGGGATAAATTTGTGATGCCTGCCCCGCCCACACGCAAAATTGAAATATTCGAAGATGATGCGATGCCGCCGCCGCCGCCGGCTGCAGTGAAGCCAGCGCCCAGCGTTTTCTTTGATGCAGATGAGACGTGTTCCACGCAAATGTTCAACATATTCATTAAATCGCAGGCGGTGAGCACGCCCAAAGCGCCACAGAAACAGGCGCCGGCACGACAATTCGGCACCCTACTCAAGGAGATGCCACAGCCGCCGACAGCAGCAGCGCCAGCTGCCCCATTGCCGCCCGCGAGCGAGGAGCCAGCCGAGCCGGAAGCGGCGGTCGCAGCCGCTGGCCAGACAGTATCGCCCATGCTGCGCAAACAGCTGTCGACCATACTGGAGACATCGGAGCATGGTGTAGGCGCCACAAATGGCACCACCAAATCTACACTGACCAGCACCACATCGACCACATCCAATACGAACAGCACATCGCCCAGCTTGCAGGCGACAGCCTTTGTGCTGAGCAGCACGCCGGGACCGACTCGGCTGCAGCGACAAATGGTTAGCGAGCTGTCCGTAGTGGGCGAGGAGCCGACGGCGGCTGGTAATTTCCAGCGCTTGGAGCTCTGGGAGCCGAATGCGCCCAGTGTGCCGCTGCTGAAATCGCTGCGTTTTCAGGAGGACAAAACAGAAACGGTGCCCAAGCCATTGATGGCCTGTTACCAGGAGGACAAAACGGAAACGTTGCCCAAGCTGCCGCTTACGTTGCCGGACATGGCGAATGCATCGAAGCTGCTGCTGCAGCCGTCGGTGCCGCAGTTGCCGACGGAATACGACGATGACGATGACTTGTGCGGACTGTTTGCCAAGACGCCGCCGAAGACAAAGGCATTCGGCTCGCCGCTCTACGCGGAAAGCTCGAAGCGCATGTGCGAGCAGCGCACGCCCGAAATGTTCAGCAAATCCATGAAGCATGTGGAGCCCGCCAAGAGGAGCTCCTTTGAGGTCTTTAAGGAGGAGAGCTATGCGCTGTCGGGTCTTAAGCCTAGCAGCAAGGCGACGAGCAGCGTCAACAAACTGGCCGAATCCCTTATGGCGGATCTCTCCTTTGTGCCGGAGACGCAACAGCCAACGGCTTTGAGGGATGGAAAAAGTCAAGCGGCGGCACAAAAGAAATTTGAGATCTTTCTGGATGAGAGCATGCCGCCGCCGCCGGTGGTGCCGCCCATGATGAACTGCACCCTGGCCGAAACGCAATCGGAAACGATTGGCCCGGCGCATTTGACGGCTTCCTTTATGAAGGATCTGAGCAGCTGTCCCCTGCCGCTGCCTGTGCCCGTTAAGAGTCCAGCGACGGTAGCTCAACAGAATTTCGAAATCTTTTTGGATGAATCCTTACCAAACATGCCGCCGCCGCCGCCGCTGGCGCTTGACCCAATGGACTGCACATTGCCCGAAACGCAGCCACAAGGCGCTGCTGTGCTGGATCACTTGGAGACGATCGGACCGGCACATCTTACCGCTTCCTTTATGAAGGATTGCACAGAGTTGAGCAAGTGCCCCTCGCCACCAAGCACGTCCGGCAATCGCTCCACAACGAAAACAGCAACAAAGAGCACAACAAAGCTCAAGTTTCTGCAGGATTTGGAAAAATCCAGCACACAGACGGAGTCCAACAAAGCTGCCAATGATTACTTTGAGCTAAATGCCGCCACCGAAATGTTTGCCAGCAACATTAGCATGATCAAGAACTCGACGCTGCTGCCCGAGACGAGCAAGCGCAGTAAGTCGCCCCCAAAGCAGCCAGCTCCAGTTGCAGCAGCAGCTCCTGTGCCTTCTCCAACTCCAGTCGTTAGCCAGCCCGTACCGCTTATTGTTCTGGACGAGCCTGAAGACGATGAACGCAGCATTTATTACAAGGCCACGCCGCTGACACCCAAGCAATCGAACCATTCCTGGCGAGAGTTGAGTATTGGCACGACGTCCAAGGAGGAATTTCGGCATCGCAAGGCGAGCTTTGATGAATCCGTGCTGAATAGCACGCTGGCCAGCGGCAATGTGAATCCCTTCAGTGTGGACATCATCAATTCACTGCTAGACCATTTGGAGTTCTCGATGTACATCGAAAAGCTGCCCAATTGCCAGCTGATGGGTCATGTGAAGCGCGTCGCGCCGCAATCCACGCTGCAAGTGAACGGCGAGCAGTTCGAGGTGCACAAAATAATTGGCAAGGGCGCCTATGGTTCCGTATTTAGCGGCATTCACTGCAAATCGGGCAAAAAGGTTGCCTTCAAACAGGAGAAACCCACCAATTACTGGGAGTACTATATCTGTCTGGAGGTGCATTCTCGTCTGAAAAATGATAACATGGTATTTTCTACTAACAAGATATTTCCCATTTAGATTCTAACTAAAGTTCATTGTAGATTCCCGCCTATATGAACATTGATTATGCTCTGGTGGGCAACAACAGCAGCGTCTATATATCGGAGCTCTCGGATTATGGCTCGCTCATCACCGTCTGCAATAAGTACAAGAAACATACAAGCAAAAATATGGACGAGCATGTTGTGATGCATCTGTGCTGTCAACTGTTGGATATTGTTGATCATTTGCATGCACTGGAGATCATTCATGCGGACATCAAGGCGGATAATTTTCTGCTCATGCGACCGTAAGTACTGCCTGGTGTCTTTTACGCCCGATCTTTCATTTCTATTGATATATAATCAACACATTATCATCAAGGATTATGGAATCTGAAACCTATTCGTAAATCTATATCTGAGTTATTTAAGAGTGAATATTTTGAATTTAAGCACGAAGGGTCTCGTCGGGCACACTCGATTGGATCATCATCCTTCATGTGTACCTAATAAAAAGACGAGTCCAATCCAAACTCTAAATTGCTGCAGCTCTCAATATATATATATATATATATATATATATATATTTATAAATGTTACAAAGCTGTTCCCAAACATCTATAAATCCGCTTTACAGTAATATAATTTAATATAGTCGTAGCCACTAAAATTTGTGACAGAGAAAGAATTGAATTTACAAATTGCTTTTCCTATTTTCCGTCTTCTGTTTACAGCTTGAGCGTGCAGGCAAATGAGCTTAGTGTGCAGTTGATTGACTTTGGTGTGGCGATTGACACCAAACTTTTTCCGCCCAATCAGACGTTCGACTATGTGCACAATGAGGATGCCTTCAAATGCATCGAGATGCGCACACAGCGCCGCTGGACATATCAATTGGATTTGTTCGGTTTGGTTGGTGTGATGCATGTGCTGCTCTTTGGACGTTATATGGAGGTAGCACAACGACAGCCAAGCGGCATATGGATGCCAAAGACGGCATTTCCACGCTATTTCAGTCGCCAGACATGGGAGTCCATATTCCGTACGCTGCTCAATGTGCGCGACTGTCGCAGCATGCCCAATTTACAGCAGCTGCGTACGCTGCTAAAATCTGAGCTCGCTGAGAAGGAGAAATATGTGGAGGCGGCCATAACCAAGTTTAATATGATAATGCAAAGGAACCATTAGGGGAAGGCGAAGGCTGCCCGCGTTTCTTTTATATCTATAAGTATATATGTTTAAATTTTAGTTTAATTATTAAAAATGTAATTCAAATATGTTCGTATTTTTTTTTTCTCAACTTTTGGAACTGTCATGCAGGACATTGCCATATTATTTGCACACTAATATTTTTGGCATTTTTAAAAATGTTGGTATATATATTGTAAAAACTACTCAAAAATACCAACATGTACCACAAGAATTGTGTTAGTCCGTTAAGACTAGATTAGGGCAATTCAATTAGATGCGTCTGGTAAATTTGTTTTGTGTTTAATAAATATATTTATTTGCTAAGCGTATATCCTTTTACAATAATTGAAAGATCCTTTAAATAACCACAATTGAACGCTTTGTGCCGTTAGAGTCGCGGTTGTTTTACAATTTTGCGCATATAAACAAAATAATTTCAACCCAATTAAGTGGTTTTACATAAATTTTACAATGCGGCAGCGTACCGAGCATTAACTGAAGCGCAGCAATAACAGCCGAACCAATGTACCCGCCCCTGGTTGCCTTGTTCTCCCCTACCGACTGACCACCTACTCAATTCGAGTGCAATGCAATTTTTGGTTGAATCAAATAATTTGGGTTATAGCACTGGCATTTTGTGGATGTGGCGCCATTTGCATTTACAGGCATTCGTCGTTTCAGCCAGTTGGCAGAAGTATATATACGCATACATACATACGCACACATACATATACAGATATTTGGACACTAACCGCTGCTATATACGTTTCCGGCTATGTCGGAGCTGTTGTCGTCGTCGTTGCGTGCGCGTCGCAATTGGGCCTGTGGTTATGTGTTGTGTGCATATGCACAGCATATAAATCAAAGTCAAAACAGCTAGACATGATTCACAAATGATCAAAACAGACGAGCGACGGTCTGGCAATGCCGCCAGCCGTCCGCAATCCGCCACCGCCCCAACGCCCCGTCAACCGAACAACCAGCCAAGCCATATGAAAGTCTTATAAATCAACTCCTGGGTGTTGTGTTTGCACGGTGGCTGCTGTTAGCCATGGCCAGAACAATTGCATGCGGTTGACTTTTTGACTGCAACTGCTAAGTTAGCACAAAATTTTGCGTGCCGCGCGTTGGCACTGCGAGTAGTTTGTCAAAAATCTTGATTAGCCAAACCAAAATTCTGCGAGGCCGTTGCGTATACGTATGTTTGTATGTATGTAAGAAAACTACCTTATACATGTGTGTGTGTGTGTATGCACCAGGGTTGCCAGCCGGTTTCATACTGAGCCGGGATTTTTTTTGTAGACCTGCCGCCATTATATTAATATGCCTAGTATGCACGGAAAATTACCTGTTGTGTGTGTACGTATGGCTGCCAGCTGGTTTATACTGATCCAGTTGGAAGCTGGGTTTTTGTGGCTTGCAGCTCTGATTTTAGGATTAGGCTATAAAATATTATATATATGCATATTCATATAGGGGACATATATAGATTTTCTGGCAAATTTAAAGCAGCTGCTGCTCTAAGTCTGCCTTGGAGTTTTATTTACCAAGCAATTGTTGTGGTTTTATTTGCACACACACAGGCACACACTTATGCAGCCTGGGTCTCACATGGACATACATGATTTATGCAAATTGAAAATGACCTTAGACCCTGACACACACACACACACACACACATATATATATATATATAAACATATACAGATACGGCATGAACACTGTCCATTTACCATGTCATGCCTGTTGTACATGCATGAGCACATACATACACATGCATATACTCTATATGTGTGAGTTTTTCGGCTCCTGTTGACTTGATTGTGGCAACTGCTTGCCGCTCAGCTGCTGCTCGGACCACATCTCCATCCACATGCACATCCACATCCACAGCTTCCACAGCCATTTGCAGTTGCACAGCTTAGCAGCCGGGCCAGTAAACCCCTTAAGAATGGACGGTTGGGCAGGGAGGGTGGCTGTGTGTGTGTGTGTGTGTGTGTGTGGCTGGGGAGGGGTTCTATAGTCGCCATCATGCATTTTGCATCATCAAGCATTTTTGCGCCATTATTTCATGAAATTCACATTTATTTTGCAGCTGCTCTGGGCTAAAAGCGCGCCCCTTGCCCAACAACATGAAAAACTCAACATTGGCCATATGTATTTTTGCCTGTTCAATGTTTTGTGTTATATGGCTTTTAAGAAGAAAAATACGAGAGATTAGAGAAGCTGCTTTGTTGGCGAGACCAACATACATATAAGTACATATATTGCTTGCTTTGGCAGTCTCTCATAGTGCTTAGATTAAACGGAGTTTTTCTATGAAAAATACGAATTTAGAAAATAGAAATTAAATATAAAATATGGGCACTTTGTGGGTGCTGTCTATAAATAATAATTGCTGTAGCTCTAAAAATATAATCGTAGCTTTAGAAATATTCCCTTAATTAGCAACTGGCTTTAATTGTTTTGCCTTTTTGTTTATTATAATTTGAGATTTGTAACAATATATATTGTATATTGAATTGTAGAATAGACCAACGAAATTTACTCTGCTCCTATTATATTATCAAAATCAACATTGGGCGAGGGGAGAATCGGTTGCAAACAGATTTTTAGGGATATGTTGGGTATATCGGGTAGGGTATTAAAATTAAATATATTCTTAATATACTTAATCTTTGAGGATATTGAAGCTTCGGCATTGTTATAGGGAGAATAGAGTTTTGGGGTTATATAAGGCATATCTATTTGTGGATTCACTTTCGATAATTTGCAATTATTACCTAACAAGAGATGCTATCAAACTTGTTTGCCATACTGCCAGTCACTAAAAATAATCATATGCTAGCCTTAAATGCTATACTATATAATATCGTAAAGTAGTAAAATGCAATGGCTTGTAAAAAGTCGTCAGGCCTATAGCTTTGGCATTTGGCACTCGTATATGCAGGCAGGGCAATTAAATGCCGGTGCGGTTATCGTTCGGTTAATCAGAGGCATGATAAAACATATATTAAGGCACAACGGCTGTGAACCGAGTTAAAGCCAGTCAGTACGTCTAATTGCACTAATAAATGTCTAGCACTTGTAGTTTTTATGGAATTCCATGCAAACATATATTCGAGGCGGAGCATTCAAAAATGCGCCAGACGTATTTCAGTTATTGACACGCGTGGACGTTTCGTGTTTTGTCGACTGTCTCTGGCTGTAAACGGGAAGCCAGTTTTTTTTTTATATTTATATACATATGTGTGTTCATGTATAAAACAATAAAATATAATCGTTAAAATTAAGTTAGTGTCGCGTATCGTGTAATACATTTGTCTAAATGAGCGTGGCCATTGAAAATACAGGTGAATATCTTTGCGTGTGCCTAAAGGATTTGTTAGGTCAAGTGTAAAGAATCACAAAAGATTGTGCCCTTTAAAATGCAATTTGAAGTGCTCTACATGCCACATTAACAACGTATTTTATTATTTATATAACAAATAATACTCAAATGAAATAAATTTATATTTAATGTGTGTTAAAAGTGTGATGAAACCAAATATAAAATAATTGTATATCATTTAAAACAATGCATAAATTATGTATAATTCAAAATTGACTTGTTAAAGTGTTTCACGAATTAACAAGCTGGTTAATAACTAAATTTAATGGCTGTCTGGCTTATTGACTAATCTAAGCCAGTTAGAAAGAATATGTTATTAAGTGTCGTTATTCATCCAAGTGTAAGAAAACGCCCACAAATTGGCTTTATCGATTCTCAAACATTTGTTTATAATATTAATTAACAAGTATTTGAGTATTCAAAACTTGAATATTTTTTCTGCGCCTCTTAAATAAAAATAAACTAAATAAACATATGCTCAGCTTAACAAATGACATCAGCAAAGTATATTATATATACATTTTTTTTCTCACGATTATACATGGGAAGACAAGTTCTTAATTTACGCCAAATATTTTCTTAATATTGTTTCCATAAATGTTTATCATTAATTGCAGTGCTGTTGAACTTATTGCCGTTGATTTTTCTATTGATTTGTGACCCACTAAAAAGGCTAAGAATGTTAATGCCCCACAAACAAGTCGAGCTGGCCTCATTTAAACAAGCTCGATATCAGTATACAAATTTTTTTTGCATGTATTTCCAAATGCTGCATAATAAACAAGTTAAAGGTGTTTTAGTCAGGAGGTGTGCTCGACTAGGGAATGCCCTGTAACTCCCACTATTAACATCATTTGAATATTTGTTGAAATTTTTTTGATAGCCAATAGAAATATTTAGAATATATATAAAAGACATGTTTCTCAATAACTAAGAAAACAAAGCTGTGCTCATAATATTATATTTATACTATATAGCCCAACATAACCTACCCCAATCTTTCCGGTCTTGCGGCCCATATCTATTGCACATATTGCGTATTATTAATAAACTTGTCGATTCCCCTCTGTAAGGCCCATTTATTGGCATACGACATCTACAGGCAGCGCTGCTCTTCTTTGCGATTGTCGTCAATTACATAGCCCGGCTCAATGTCAGCGTGGCCGTTGTGGCCATGACGGATGCCGCGACCTCCAATCCAGACTTTCCGGTATTTAAAACATTGCTTTAATTAAAATTCTAGTGGAGTTGGCTAAACTCATGTCTGCTTGCAGGAATACAACTGGTCGGAGGCGCAGAGATCCTACATACTGTCGAGCTTTTATTGGGGCTACATAATTACCCAGTTTCCGGCTGGGTTTCTGGTGCGTCGCTTTGGCGCCAAGCTGGTGCTCTTTATACCCACATGCGCCACAGCCGTGCTGAGCGCACTGACGCCCTACTGCATCGGCTGGGGTGGCTGGGTGGCATTTAGTGTGCTGCGCATTGTGATGGGGCTGTTCCAGGGCCTAATTTTTCCGTGCATACACGAGCATCTGGCCAAATGGTCACCGCCCAAGGATCGGAATCGTTTAGGCGTCTTTGCCTACTCCGGCGCCGATTGTGGTTCCGTTCTGGCCATGGCTGTTAGTGGCCTGATTGCCAACAGCTCGCTGGGCTGGCCGGGCATATCGTATGTCTCGGCCGGACTGTGCGGTATCTGGTGTGTTATCTGGCTGCTGCTGGGCGCCAACAATGCGCCCAGCTCTCGTTTGGTGGGACTCGATGAG